TGTGTGTGTGTGTGTGTGTGTGTGTGTGTGTGTGTGTGTGTGTGTGTGTGTTTTGAATTCATGCCCCAACCCGCCCATTTTCTAATCCGCTTATCCTCACAAGGGTCGCGGGGGGTGCTGGAGCCTATCCCAGCTGTCTTTGAGCAGTAGGCGGGGAACACCCTGAACTGGTTGGCAGCCAATCACGGGGCACACAGAGACGAACAAACATTTGTGCTCACCATCACACCTATGGAAAATTTAGAGTGTGCCATTAACCTGCCACGCATGTTTTTGGAATGTGGGAGGAAACCGGAATACCCGGAGAAAACCCACACAGGTACGGGGAGAACATGCAAACTCCACACAGGAAGGCCGGAGCCACTGCACTGTGAGGCAGATGTGCCAACCAGTCGGCGGACATGCTCACCATTCGACCACCGTGCCGCCCTTGAATTCACTTCTCATATATTTATTTGGTTTGCAAAGGTCAAGGGGGCAGCAGGTTAAGAGGCCAGTTAGGCAGAAGTGGCTCTTGAGGGCATAACCTCTGACTCACCCAGGTATTTTGTGAAGGGCACATGAACGCGAGCGGACAGACGAGGAAGGACACAGGAGTGTGTTTAGGTTTTAAAGTTGTACATTTTTAGCCCATGCACAAACATCTTGAATAAGTAACACATCTTTAATTGTCATCTTCGGCCGGTTGTGTTTGGTTACAAAGAATTACGTTGTTACAATCTACTCTGTTGATGGTGGACCGAGTGTCTGGTGCATGACCTCTAAGTATGTGTTGGTCTGGGGAGTGTCCCAAGAAATAGCAGTTGGACTCCTGATGTCACATGACCCCAGTCAAAAAATGAAGATTGAAGGCACTTGTGTGTTTCGTTAACAAATGAAAGATGACGTTACTTGTTCGAGTACCACCCCCTGGTGGAAAAAAAGTTCATTTGCAGGAATCTGATCTCATTTGAAAGTGGCTGCCAAGGGAGGCCTAATTGCACAGAGAAAGACTGTCAGAAAGATTTTGTCATGGTTGAAGCTGTTGAACTAAATATTTGTGGATTTTTTTTTGGATTTTGTCATGGTGGAAGCCGTTGAACTAAATATTTGTGGATTTTTTTTTTCTGTCCTGTGAAGGAAACTTGCCCATATGATAAATGTCAAAGATACAATTGTACCTTTTCCACACTCATCTCTGTTTACACAAGGTGGATAATAAGATGGTGCAGTCGTGTACATAGGTGGTATTTCTGCCATATGATTTTGCCATCAAATGTTTGTTCCGTAAGTTTGACTTTTTGAGTGATTTCGATCCCGCAATGCAAAGAAGTGCATGCGTTCAAGCTAAACACCTCGTGGGACTCTTTCCACTCTCACAGTCAGTTTCCAGAGAAACAAGTCGAGCGCCGAGCACTATCTCTCCCACTCTGTGGCTTGACTTTGTTTTGCCGTTGTGAGTGGAAAGGTTTTTGAGGGTACGCACCACCGTGAGAAGCCTTTGCGACCTTCTTACGTCAACATTACGATGCAGTCGCCGACTCCGCTTCGCTTCCTCAACGCGCGGTGCATCCTATACTTGTTGGGAAGCTAAAAAAGATTTTCCAGTGCCACTGTACAAAATGAAGACTTTGATTACCAAGTCACATGATTATATCAAGTCATTCTGTGTCCTGCAGGGAGCCACGAAAGGCAGTTTATTTTGAGAGTGTAATTTATGGTGGCCTGCTTAATTGTTCCGTGTCTTACTATCATCGTCATCATCGCAGCCCGTCACTGTTCTTCTAGCATGCTTTCTGGCAATGTGCCCTTCGAGCGCTGCTCCCTCCATCAACGTATTGCCTGACTGCATTCCTCCCATTCCGACTGGCTTCCTGTGACTCGAAGAGGAGTAAGGCCTACTGGCCACAAAACTCCACCTTGAAGTCCTACCCACATATTCCATGTGTTCCATTCTCACCCTTTTCACTTTCAAACTCAGTTTAGAGATTAACTGCAAACTCAACCTATCAGACTGCTTTAAAATAACCGTGAAACAAATATTGTGGATAATTATTTTATTTTGGAATTTATGAGGGGCAGTCCACTGATACAACTGTGACATGAACCCGTAATTTTATCCAGATTCTCCTCCAAAATGAACGTGAATCTGTCCTCATATTTGCTCTTTTACTATTTTAAAATGACAGGGCGAAGGGTGGTCCAAAGCTTTTAGCGCAGCGTCGTCCTCAAAGCATTCAATTATTTTAATTTCGGTTTTAGAGGCAGCCTCTCTCAATATTTACACACACTTTCGGAGGAATAAATTAGTCTGACATTTATGTGCCTTATCACCTCAGCAATATTGTTGATTTAAAGTGCTACAACCAGGGAAAGGAACTGTATGTTAAGAGAAAACATATTATAGTCTTAACACTCTACTCATTTAAAAATGATTTACAATCTGGTCCAAATAGCAACTAGAGGTCATATGATGTTCGTGATATTTCCCTTTTAGCTATCACGCGAAACAACAGCTACCAAACCCACTGGACGGAAAAAAGATAATACTCGGCGTCAAACGTTTATCATTCAATTTGCAGGAACTGCCATGAAATTCAATTTACTTGAACAGACAGTACCGCCAGTTATTCGGGCCACTGTCGGCTGGAAGTACGAGCTGTTGAGACAATGATGTTTTCTCACTCAAGCTATACCGTTTTCCTCTTAATCAACTGAGCTGCACAATGGTTAATCTTATGATGTTCAGGGTCAGCCTGGGTCAAATGAAATAAAACAACGGCTCGGATTCACTGTCGCCCGTTGTTTGTTCTGACGAAAGGTGGAGATGGACACGTGAGATTTGACAACATTCAACTCTGAAAATTACGAACCGCTGTGCTCTGTGAATGCAGGTGTATACTGGAGCAATGCATATGAGCAGAATCAAGTGGACATAGACATCATTACTACAACATTGTACTTATATTCTTTAATTAGTGTCTTCGTTGATGTAATGCTACCCCACACATGACAAGAAAATAATGTGTGTCCTGACTGCAGCATCTCCACGCCCCCAAACTGTCTGTCGTAGTACCAAGACTGACCTGCGAGAGGCGCCGTAGTGCCAAGGGACATGCGGGGAAATACGAAGAAGAATTAAGAATTAAGATTAACACAGTAGTAAAAGAAGCTAAACTGTTATCTAGTAACCACATTGAACTGGCAAACTCTCCTCCTTGTTATTGTTGCTATGGTCAAAGATTTTGGAGTGGTTTTATACAAACACTCCACATAGCCCGCCCAATTAATTACTATGCATGCCCCCTGCTTAAACAAATAAATGCCTCACCTCAAATAGAACATCTCCTTTGAAAGAAAACGTATTTTGAGTACAGCAGGATTCACTGTCGCCCGTTGTTTGTTCTGACGAAAGGTGGAGATGGACACGTGAGATTTGACAACATTCAACTCTGTGAAAATTACGAACCGCTGTGCTCTGTGAATGCAGGTGTATACTGGAGCAATGCATGTGAGCAGAAAAAAGTGGACATAGACATCATTACTACAACATTGTACTTATATTCTTTAATTAGTGTCTTCGTTGATGTAATGCTACCCCACACATGACAAGAAAATAATGTGTGTCCTGACTGCAGCATCTCCACGCCCCCAAACTGTCTGTCGTAGTACCAAGACTGACCTGCGAGAGGCGCCGTAGTGCCAAGGGACATGCGGGGAAATACGAAGAAGAATTAAGAATTAAGATTAACACAGTAGTAAAAGAAGCTAAACTGTTATCTAGTAACCACATTGAACTGGCAAACTCACCTCCTTGTTATTGTTGCTATGGTCAAAGATTTTGGAGTGATTTTATACAAACACTCCACATAGCCCGCCCAATTAATTACTATGCATGCCCCCTGCTTAAACAAATAAATGCCTCACCTCAAATAGAACATCTCCTTTGAAAGAAAACGTATTTTGAGTACAGCAGCAGGTGGGACCGAGCCCTGTCCCCAAATAAGCAAATGACGAATTTCTGCGGGAATTCGTCCAAATAAAAGGTCTTCCTTCAAATAAATGCCTTGTACTCTGCAGATGAGTAACCAAATGCCATTGTTTGAGAAATGCTTTGATTAGACACTAACTGCACAATTCCTGAAGTACATCAG